TTGTATTGTATTGTATTGTATGTTCGCTCCATGGTGTTCGGCCTTTCGGGAGCTGGTATCGGGCGAAGCTCACTTTCCGTACTCCCTTTAATTGGGTTCAAATGTGCGATTCGGTAGGCCTTTGTTGGGACACCAAATCGCGAATGAATAAAGAGCGTAGCATAATCTGTTATTAGGATGAGAAAAACAAAAACTCTTAAGAACTTAAAAAAAACTTCAAGGACGACTGTTTTTGATTTGCGAGCTTATTGCGGGCGACACGAAAACTGTCACGTTGTGTGCTTAAATATAAAAAAAGGTACGGAAGTTTGGTGTTACATTCTATTGCGTTAATCCGTAACGGATATGCAAACATATTATGCTTAAGTAAATGGTGTGTGAACTGTAAAAAACAGAACCATAAATGCAGAAACGCATTTATGGTTGCGTCACAAAAAGGAAAGCATAAGGAGAGGCTCTGGCGCTTGCTGACGGTCGGCGCTTTTGTCACCTCCTTGCAGCCCACATTGCAAACGAGGCCTATATAAGTCACGTGACCACGATCAACCAGTTGGAAACACTCTGTAAGCCCATCGAACAATATTGGCGGCTACCATTTCTGTAGACAGTAAGCCTGTGATTGGTTCCGAGTGCTCGCCGAACGCCGACGCAGCTGCACTCGTTCTCGATGCAACTGAGCCAAGTTCACACCGAACTCGGAGGGAATCCTGGTGTCCAAGAGGCTCAGAGCACGTGACCAAACAATGGCGGACTCGGTTAGTTGACACAGCAACTACTAGATGGCGCACCCTTTGGGTAGAAAGAAGGTTGATGGTTTCTGGGACGGTAGATGCAGGCGCGGCGTCTGATATTCCAGAGAATATACGGCTACTGTGGATGCTACGAACGCGATCCACACTACAGTACACAACTATATAGCAGTGCCCAGGAATTGAATATTGAAATAACAATTGTATTGCGGAATTTCAAATGCGTGAAAACACACGTCTTTGGCTGGGAGCTCTATTTTAACGCGAGAGCGTTATGGAGTTCGTGTCGCAGAAAGGCCGGCGTTGATGGCTGGACCCGGAAATCCTGATTGGTGGATAGGATCATGACGTCACAGTCGCGTGACCTCGCGCGAGAATTTCAAACAACCTACAACGCTTACGTGAAACGTGACGTTGCGTCTTTACGTACATAACTCTTTCTAAACCCGTCACCTCAAGTATTCCGAAAGAAAAATATTTATAACGTAATGAATAAAAAACAAAAACACGAAAAGTAGCTTCGACATTGTAAATATGTCTTTATGTCCTTTGGTAGTACTCTTCAGATAGCAAGATCTTTTACGAAAATGGCCACAAATGCTATCATAACACTCTATTCGTGAATCCCCATATACGGCGAGCAGGTGTTTCAAAATCGTTTTGCTCATCGGTGCGCAAGGAAGAGCGGGCCGATCAAAAGTCAACGTAAAGAATGCGCAGGGAACTCGCGATGACGAGGCAGCCAAGAGGGCATCGTCATCGGTTGAGGTCGGGGGAAAACAAATGCACGTGGGCGCGTACCTATGGGGAGGGTAAACAAACAGACGAGGTGCGCGAGGGACGTACGAACTTGCACGCCATATTAAATAAAATAAATAATTGAGGATTTTTCTTTTTGTCATAATGAGCCACTTTCATGTGAAGCAAAACTTAAATAAACTGGAATGTGTGCTTATCGAACTAGCTTTGAGTCCTGTACCGCGGCCATCTGTGCAATGGTTATTATCGAATTATATGTCCGACTTCAAATTGATACCCTTTAGGAACGGTGGACCTTCGAAATCCTGAAGGGTTCATAGGGTCATAACGTCACCGCAACATGACCTCGCGCGGGAATTTCAAACAACCTATTACGCTCACGTGAAACTTGACGTCCCACGTGGAATGAAAGTGATTAAAAGACATGACATGTAATGAGAATTAAGGGTCGCCGCATGTCTCAAGTGACTTCGCTTTATAGGGTAATTAATCCGCCTTAAAAAAAAGGAATTGAAAAATTTATGGCGAGGTTTGAACCCACGAATCTTCGGTAGCGAGCCAGACACCCTACTGAGGAGGCCATGTCCGCCGTACTTCTTGCTCGCTGGAGGGAAATGAAAAAAGAAGAAAAAAGAACAACAAGATAGAGAAAACGTCTATAAAGTTACATAAATGAAGCGTTGCAATGAAGACACATGCGTCGACTGTAGTCAGCACTTCTTCTTTAGCCCTTTCCAATAAGTACTTTTTTTTCAGCCAAGCCTCAGTCATTCATAGTGTCGTCCGGCTTTTTCGCTTTTTTTAATCTGAGTGTATCTTCTTTGCGCATTTGCAGTTTTACAATTTTTATATATGTATTCCAATAAATTTCAGTTGACAGTTATGGTCTGTCCATTGTGCCACTCATCTTCTAGCCCTCTTTTTTTTTTTTGGCGTATACACGTTTTCTGTTTCCTGACGCTCTCACTCACGTGGGTTCCGTATCTGGTATGCGGGACGAAAAATTAATAAAACATTCCAACTTGGAATTTGCGAGAAAATATAGGTGAGGCAAAACCAAGATGGTGTGACAATCGCGCATTTTTCGTAAACACCTTCCAGCGGCGTGGAGGGATCAAAACGATGTTTGACCGCCTACCATAAGTAACTACAATCAAGACGGCTGCGTTCTTGTGGAACAGGTGTATACCCCCATGCCATGTTTTTAGTTATTTTGCCCGAACCACCAAGTGTCTGCCTGGCGTTCACCTTCATGGCCTGGTGATAGTTACAAAAACGCATTGGCTTGGAAGGGGGAAAGGGGCAATCAGATTTCTGTGTTTTTTAAGCTAGGTGGCACAAGCTACACTCCACGGAAAAAAGATGGTCTCAAAGGCCTAAGGGCAGCATTTGGCCCTTTGAACTCCCATTTACTCCCCGAAGATACCATCTGGTTCGAGCAAGGTACCATGCGAAAATGATGAGAGCTAACTGCATCTGAATGTCATACCAACCAGCTCAGCTCCTGGCAGTCACAGACTAACTGCACTCTACCGGCAGTAACCTCCTAAGACAGGATGCAGTTTTAGTCCCCCAAACGCGCGGAGAAGATGGCGGCGTCTGCTGCATCGCCGATGGTCAGCGTTAGCGACGCACTTACTGTTTCAGAACAGAGGGGGAGGTATCCTAACACCACCTTAGCATCAAATATTGTAGAAGAGGGCATGTTTAATGGTTGGAGGTGACTTTTTAACGATCGCAGCCTCTGTTCCAGCACATCGTGGAAGCCAGTGGATTAGCGTGTCAAAGATTGTAATGCGCTGGCACCCGCCGCTAAGTGGCTGATTCGCTCTTAAACAAATTGTACGTGTATGAATGACTGTGTGCTTTTTCATTTCTTATTAACCTGCAATAAAGAAGAAAAAAAAAAAGATTGGAGTGTCGTCACGTGTGTAGTGCGTGCGTGTCATCTGTGTTATAATTCCTTGTAGTGCGTGCCAATGTGAAATTAGTGCTGTTTAAGTTTGAATGTAATCAGCGAGGAAAAAACTTATCGCAGCGATAAAATTTTTGCAAAGTTTGAATTGGACGTTGACTAGAGCCACCTGGGTCCGTAGGGGCGCACTTTAGTAATAAATAAAGTAAGGGCGCAACGTTTAGTTCCAGTGGCGTAAATGCAAAGGTTAGCCTTGAGGGTTTGACTTTGACGGACTAACGTGGGTGGAAGGGGGAGGGGGGCAAGAGTAGCTCCCCTCCCCATTAGTCCCCCAGGGGACTAATGGTGGTGGCAGCGTTATAAATGTTACAGCCGTTTTTGTCCATTCATCCATCCATGAAAGGCACTAAGGCCAAGTCCTGCGACCACGCTGGGTGACGGGAAGTCGGAGGTCTGCGAAGCTTCTGGCTTCGAAATGCCGAGAAGCCAAAACTCGAGAAACTTGATTCTACCAATATAGCCTCGCGCACATTCTTTTCTTACTAGATCTTCACGCAGTTTTGAATGTCATCTATTCTATATAAAAATCTTCACTATCATCCATCTTAAGAGTAGCATAATTTCTCAGTTTTTAGTCTGTTTCTTTGTATATTTGATGCTGCGCAAGCTAGAACTATTTATGTTTGAGCGAAAGTCAAGCATTGTCGAATACTTTGAATTTTACATTCATAATGTACAAATTTGTAGACCGCAGACCTTAATTCAGTTTAGTAATTGCGAAAAAAATATATCTCGAATTTTTTTTTTCTCTTTTTAACGAGGTTGCGTAATTTTGAGATTTATCTTGTACGGACGCTAAATCAATGGTTATAGCTGAAAACACTACCAAAAACATAAAGTAGTTTACAGATGGAAAGCTTAAGAAAGTATAGTTTTGAACACTGCCGTGCGTACATCACGCAAACTAAACAAAAATGTTATAATCCGTGGTGACCCACTAACTGACCTAATTCACATTCCACTGCCTTCCATGGTCAGTGGTTCCACTGATTCTTAAATGACTCGATGCTTGTTTCTAGGTAAGCGTAATCGCCCAACAAACATCGAAAAACGAAGTGTTTCGACAAAAACAATCCTTGCCTAGAGCAGAAATGTCCAGATAGCGGTGATTTTCGGTTTTAACCGATTTTATATTTGTGACACCGGTTGACGTTTATCGGTGTTTTTCAGATGAAACCGCAAAACCTAAAAAGTAAGCGTATAAGATGTCTATCGCGTCCTGGGTATGTCTTAGAAGCTACGGGCACGTTAGACAGGATCAAGCTCTAGCAACACTTTCCTGATAGGAAAGGTTTCTCTGTCCCCTTCTTCGTCCTTGTTCATTCGGCGCTTTCCATTCAATTCAGTGCCGAACATGCTCGGTACGGGTTCGTATCATTTTGTCCCCACAGTGGCCGTATCGAGGAAACTCTTTTCGTAGCCTGGTAAATACATGACGCACTTGTTTTCACTGCTTGCGTTCTTAACCCTCCGAAAAGGCGTAACGCAAAGAATGAACACGAGAAGTGTTAACGATTCAACTATTTTATTCGACAAATATTTACAGCTCTCGCATAATGACGAACATGTATTTCCTGGAAGGTAACCAACAAACGTTTGTGCAATTGTGTTAGCAGGTCTTAGCCGTTTTAATCAAACACAAGCTAGTGCTGACAGGGGCGATTAATTAAGACTTAATTTTGTGTTGGCTTGAAAGGAATCATTTCCAAATGACAAGTTACTTGGTGCTACACATGCACAAGGAGCTCCTACGGTTACCTTCGTGCTTACTTTATCGTGAGCCCAAAGAATCAGCTAGTTCAGTTTGAACTACTGATTAACCTAAATAGTTTACGGACGTAAATGAATAAACTGGGGTGTTGCGTAAAGTGAGGACGTGGTGACAAGACTACAGCGGGCTGTTTAATTATCGTATTCCGATATTGCGGTTTGGACTTGTGCCTCTTTCACTTGTCAAGTTTCCTTCCGCGTTTTTATTTGGGTAGGATATTGTTTATCAGGAAAGATGCGACGTCTAGACTAGACCAGATTTGTGCTGGTACTATTCTTCTTGGTGTCATAGCCAGAGCTTGATGGTGTGTTTCCGCTTGTCAGGCTTCTCAAAACCTCTTCTTTCTTCTGCGACGCGGCACGACTTCAATCTCTTCTTCGTCTTCTGGCGGCGCCGGGTCCTCGGATACTTCCATCCAGTCCAGCATCTTTCCTTGCGCCGGTACCTGCTGCACTCCGGTTGGCTCTGGAGCCTTGTAGAGTGCCCTGAGTGCCCGCTTTCCGCTGAGATCCAGCTGCCCGTCAAAGTATGTGTCGTTGATGTAGTAAAGGAGGCGGTCCACTTTTTCGGGGAAGTTTGTGATCTGCGACTCGAGCGTCGGAACCTTGGATTCTGGCTCCAGGTCGGCAGACTGGAACCCAAGAAACCCTTTGAACTTCTTGCCTACGAAACTGACCATCTCAAAGTCATTGCACTGCTTTTCCACGTCCTCTTTTACAGACTGGAAGGAACTGATGATAAGCGTGACGAAGATGTTGAGCAGTATGACGGACGTCACCATGGCGAATACGAAGAACACAAGCGGTCCGACGAACGGGGATGCCATGGCGATGTCGTCGAACTTGAACTGACCACGAGCCATGTCGAAACACGTCTCGGCTGCGGTCACGAACGTGGAGAACTCAGACATCTGGGTGCCCAGAAGAATGTAGAAGACCATGACGAAAGCGAAAAAGGTGACCCAGAAGACGACAAAGAAGGAGCTGAGGTCACGCGAGCACTGGGCCAACGTGCTGTACAAGATTCCGATCCTCTTGTTAAAGCGGAGCAGTTTTGTGAATTTGAGAATCGAGATGAAGATAAGGAAGGACATAAGGTATCCAAACAATTCATCAATCGCCGCCACGACCTGAAGCTTGACGTAACCGTTGCCGTGGCTACGAGAGAAGATCTTAAGGATCTTGTTGGTCACCACCATCCTGGAGATGTAGAAGAACATGGCGGCGTAAGAGAGTCCAAGAGCCACTAGTTCGGCCAAGTTCCAGTAGCTCCGGAAGTAGTCCATGCGGAGGTTGAGGAAGCACTTTATCTCATGGACCGTGAAGTAGATGACAAATCCGACGAAGACGAGCTCGCAAATGAGAACAAAAAGGCCGAAGCCCTGATGGTAGCGCATGAGTCGGATGGCGTCGATGCGTACGTTCGGGACCACGCCACCTCCGGGGTGAAACTCGGCGATCATGGTCACGACGCCGAAGAGATTCACCTGGGCGTTGTAGACGCTGAATTCGACAAACACGGCGCGGGTTCCGCCATCTATCCAATCGGACTTCTCGAGGTCCTTAAGGTGTTGGATGATGCGATCATTGGGACCACGCAGCGGCACGAGGTATCCCCCACCTCCGTAGACATCCAGTTTTCCCCAGAAGGGGAGACCGTTGAGTTCTTTGGCTCGTCGGTGATGCCACTCGTTCACTTCAGACATTGGTATTTTGGGGCCACCGAGGGGGACGACCTCATCCCATCCTGGTAAGTAGCTACGCTTGTCCTCGTTCAGGACACTGGACTGGCCTCTGCAGCCGCTGACCAGCTTCCGCATCAGCTTCTCCACCTTACAGGAGTCTGCGAGGGAGGGCATTAAGAACTGTTGTGATCACAAATGGGCACTAACTATGTTGCTAGTAGTTGGGCCGCGTTTATTCACTGAGGTTCTTTTACATTCCCGAATATTAGCTTTTAGTCATCGCACAGTTTACTGCAGAGTCCATAAAAGTGTTGTGTTCTCTCTTTTTGTTTTTAGCATCATCGATTTTTTGCATTAAGACAAGCCCACGAGTATGCTGCAGCGAGGGAACCATGGAGCATGAGCATATAAATAGGTCCCGCCTTTTGGGCCTAAAGTTGGTTTTATGTCGAATTTGTGGTGCCAAATTCACACGACTACTACGTGCATATGCAGCCTTCTGTCTGGCTTCATTATTGTGCAAGAAATACATAAAACGCAAGAGTTAGGGGTGTACCGTTACTTTTGAAGTGCGAGCTATAGACTTTTGCAAAACATCTTCTTCTCGATACTGCAATTTTTGTCTGCTGGCTGTGGAACGCCTTCTGAGTAGGCGTTGTTGCTGTGCTGTGCGGTGTAACAGACGCTGCGCGCACATCCATAGCTCAGTGACTCAGCATTTTTTGCACCGGTGATAAGCGATGAAAAGATCTATATTCAGTTTTGTTTTAATTCTACCGCAGCTGACGCTACGTTCCGGAGGAGTGAATCAGCAGCGCCAAATTCGGATCATCAGGCGCTAATGTTGGTGATTTGTTTTATCACCAACTAATCTAACCACGCACAGTGAAGGCCCCTCGATCTTGCGGTATTTTGTACGCGATTGATTAAATTGATAAAGACAAACCCACACACAAACCCACAAAACAACCGAGAGCCGTGACTGTGCTTTTTGATGTGGCTCGATTGACTTCATCGAATCGAGACGTCGGCTGCTGTCAGATTTAATGTGAAAATTAGCATAAAATACAAACACATGGCGATCTCAGGCGCACAGAGACCGTTAAAATTCGCAGCGTTAGTTTATGAAACTTAGTTCAATGACTATAATACCCGAGCTCAAAATTACAGTGACCATAGGCGAGTCGCGCATTACTTAGTTGGACGCTGCTAGCGTCGAGTCGTCCATCGAGTTTGATGGAACTCACTAGAACAGAGTGCAGTCTTTCGGAGCTCAAAAGAAAGAGCGATAGTGCATATATACTCACTTGGTCTGGCCCTGACTTGTCTTAGCGAAGCGAATCCCATGATCCGATTCACTTTGTCTTCCAGGAAGCCCCGGAGTCCGAACGGCTGGGCGCCGTTGTACCAGGCTCCAGCCTTCAGGTTTGGTACCAGGACCTCGCGGGACCACTTCCAAAACTGCTGAGCATTTGCTATCTGGACGAAACCGAGAGATCGAGGACAATATATTAAGGACGCTGTGAAGCTAACATCTTTTTATGCGGGCACAAATGACGATTCGGGGATAAAATATTGGTAGGAAAAGAACTTGTAGGTCAACCCTGATGAAATATGCAGAACGGGGCTAGGGTAGCTTGAATCGAAAGAGAACACAGTAAAAACAAGCTAAGGTAGAGGTTTGTTTATCCTTCTTGTGGCTGCGCGGTACGCCGCAGCGATACACACAAATTTGGTTGCCAACGTGGATGAGATTTGCCAAGAACCGCGGGGGTTTTCCGCAGGATATTCGTTCATTTATTCAACTTTTGGGGTCCCCCTAAACAACCTGTGAGCCTAGAGAAAGGTGTGCTTTTTTGTCAGGCATATGCTGGCTAACGTAAATATAAAAACACATTGAAGCATGGACAGTTGGTGCAACACAAAATATGTTGTAAGAAAAGAGTAGTACGTGAGAAAAAAGAAAAACTTAAAATATTCACTGGTGTGAATATGTAACATCAACGAAAACACGTTTTGTGACACTGTAAAAAAAACAGAGAAAGGTACACAAGATAAAGGACAAGGCTGTCTAAAATGTAAAATACACAGAACTAGTTAAATTTTTGGTGGATGATGGACATTTGTCTCAACTTTTGCTTACTTCAGGGAACTTTCCGTTGTCAACAAATTCGTGTCGGAGGCTCTGCTGCAGGTAGTAGGCACTTGGATCGCGGTTGCCGTACGACAGCACCGTGAGGATCCAGAGGAAGAAGAGGTAGGTTCCGATCTCCCTCAAAATGGCCGTCATCTTGAGTTCACGTAGACGCTCCTCTCGCACTCGGTCCAGCTCAGAGTTGTTCTGGGGCTTGTACATCCGGCGACGCCGGTGACCGGGAGCTTCTGTTGGCCCACAGTAGAATGAAAAAAAAAAAAAAATAAAAAAAAAACTTATTTTCCATGCAAGTATTAAAGAAACAACTCCAGAGAATTATTATATTATTTTCTATACAGACGACATTGTCCAGCTTCTACGTGAGCACGAATATATTCAACGTTTTTTTTTAACAAATATTCCTACATATATTCTTACTAAAACGTCGCAACTCAGCACTAATATTTATAAAGAGGATTTTATGACACTGGAAATGGGATTGTATTGGAAGTATTTTTATGTGCATTTTAAACCCCAAAGGTAAGTCCCCATCTTTCAAGCATAGTCAGATAAACTCTTGAGCCTGATGCAGATCTAGCTGCATACCATAAGGACGCAGCCTTGGAATGTCGAAAAGCGGGCCAAAGAAGCGCTTTGTTAATCCAAGCGACCATTTAATCAATCGGTCTCGTCAAGCTCAAACATTTGTCTTTTACATACGGGGCTTGAGGAGGACTAGACAAATTACTAAGAAACTACGAGCTTCATTGAAAATCTCGCAAAGAAACCTCATGCGAAATTCATGCTTTGTTCCAGAATATTATCGCAAAGATTGAGAGTCACGGCACCTGAGTCAATGTGAGCGCGAAACGAAGCACGGGACAGCTCTCCACAGAGGGAATGCACACCGGTAAAAAATTGCTACGTGTCTCTCTCCAGTGCTCTAAGTGACTCGTCGGGCCGTAGCGATAGCCCTCTGGTTAATGTAAAGTCTCTCGGCAAAACCTCAACTGCCGGTCTAATTAAAAAAGAAAAATTCGACTCGAGCGACACTTGCTTTCGACTAGTATTCCTCCAATGATATTACCGTTGTGAAGCCATTCTTCATGCTCGAGAAGCTCGGGTTCCTCTTCGTCTTCGTCCACGTCTTCGTCCTCCTTATCGGGTGACTTGAACAAACTGGAGAACACGATGGCTAGCAGGAAGACCTGCCGGGACCAAGCACAGTCCAATTATTACGTGCACGTCTCCTGGAGCGGAGGGCACCGCGAATCACGATCTAGGTCTCTAGACTATGTCGGAATCGAAATGGACCTTTTCCGAGAAACGTTCTGCGCACGCGCGAGCGCCCGATGCCGAGCGGCGGAATTCGGCACAAAAAATCGAAGAAATTCGGAAGGAAGCTGTGGATCAGCGAGTGGAGCACGAGTGTGACTGTTCATCCGCGCTGTTCCATCCAAGCACCAATCCGAGTAGAGCACATAATTGTAGCATATATATAACTCTGTGACGCAAAAAAAAAAGGAAGTGGACATAAAAAAAACACAACGTTTGGCGGGACGCCACCTATGCCCCTCTTTAAAGTCGCGTTGGGCACGCGCTGCAGCTCGGAAAGCGAAGAAACTGGTAGCGTGGCTCCCATTACGGATTGGTAGCGCAGGTAGGTTACTTCCTCGATTTTAGTTCGTGCAGCTATCACCTGGTGCCGTCGGTATGTTGAAAAGGTCCATTGATGAACTGCCGTACCGACGGAGAAATTCCAACTAGGGGTGTGAACACAAAACCGGCGTAATCATCGAGCAAATTTGAACAACAAAAATCAGCAACTGATTGCCCTTCGGTTTGCTGTCTGGGTCGCTGCCATCAATTGAAAATTGAAAACGTTCGGTAACCCAAACGGTAGGTTTTTGGTGGTATTCACTGCAGACCATGCAAAAACTGGCTTCATAAAATACTGCTAACGGTTAGCTTTCATGAGGCTTCCGCAACATGCAATCAGCATCATGAGGGTGGTCGTTTTTGTCAGACCATATCGTTCTGAGCACGCGCGAACAACGAGCTGAGACGTCTTTTTTTCTGGTTCACACCCAGCAAGTACATTCCGCTAGATTGTGACTCATTGCTTGGTTACAACTAGACTAAACACCGAGAGAAATGCCTGATGTGCTAAATATTTTGCGGTCTATACTCATCGCAATGCAGAAAATACCTGAATTTAGATGAACCCACATTAAGAAAAGCTGTAGTCACTAATATAGCTTAAGTAGACTGGTGGAACAACGGCGTTTGTTGCTTCGACATTGACTTCTAACGTTTAAAAATAATACTCCAATTTTTTAATCGCGTTGCCCGCCCATTGATAGTGCGAGAATCAGAGATGATTCTTTTTAAGTAGTCGGAAACTCTAGAAACCTTCAGTTGCTTGCACCATGCACCGTTTCTCTCAGCTTCATGATGTGACTGCGCTCAGTCAGTAGCTACCTTGCTCGATTGTGCCTGGATAACGCAGCTCAGTGAGACACTGAACAAAGACCATAGTTGCTGTTCAAGAGGTTATCTTGACTCGGAAGAGCCGTGTTATAAATTTGTATGTGCAGGCCAAGGGGCGCGCTGGAAAAAAACCCTAAAAAGTGCTAAAAATATAAGTCAAAACTATAAACGGAGGTTAAACTGACGACCCCTTTGTTTAAGATTATGCACCATAAACTATTATGTACGCATAAATCGCACAACGCTACTCAATGGTGACACAGCGCTGTGCTTCAATCAAAACGCCACGTTTGGCGTTTGGCTGCACGCTTGAGTTTCAAGGAAGTACACATATCTAGGCCTAACAGACGTCGATAAACCGTGCTTCGAAGACAACCCGATTACAACGACCTGATGATGCGTCCTGATGCTAAGGGCTGCGTAACACTCTTATCAAAATTGCGATGTTGATGAAATACTAAGCCTGCCGTATGGCGTGCTACGTCTCCAGTGGAAGCCCCACTTCTACACCCAAACTTATCTCGATCTCAACTTTCACCTGCCTCTGTAGATGGCACTTATGACATCAATTCAAAGACGAGTAAGGGCAGAGGCAACCTGATAAAATACAACCAAACTTGCATTCACTGTGAACGGATGATTAATCATAATATTGATGACAGCTCATTACTTCTATCAGCAGTGAGATAGAGATACGATACAAGGCTTGCCGCAGTGCGTCCTAAGCTTCCAGAGTAGATCCAACCCCTAGCCCTAAACACTTACCTCAGCCTCAACATTGGCATAGATGCCTGTGTAAATTGCACTTTCTCCTACATGAGTAAAGGCATGGATATCCGATCAGACGCAACTAAACCTAACCCTAGATGAGACAAGGTTTGACCAAATTGGTAAAACACAGTGTAAACTTTGACAGTACCTCTGCGTGCTCTGAAGGAAATTGGAAGCGCTGAGTCCATTAAGAATACCGAGCAGAAAACCGCAGCCACACTGCACATCGTACAAAAGACACTGCGTCCTCCGCAGAATGTTTAGGCATGTTCTAAGTATGCACATATGCATGCTTAGAACACTCCTAAACACGAGTTTTGTATGAACAATATGGCAGGACCGTCACAAGGAAGAAACCGGACTCAGACAGTGCCTGCACGCTGTCTTTTGCATAATGTAGTAGCGGTTCGATCGCAGCTTAAGGTTTTCAATGAAAGCGGTATACCTTGATGGGCTGCGTGACCAGGACAGACATAAAGAAGGACACCAGGAGGGACGTGATCCACTTGCGGGTCTTCTCGTCGCCGAACTGGACGCCGTAAGCCCAGATGAAGAAGATGGACACGAAGATGGAGGCCAGGCAGAAGAACCAGGCCACGTAGCGGCACCACCAGGGGAACATGAACTTGCTCTTGCGCTTCCTCTTGGACGCCTTGCCCTGGCGGCGCAGTCCACGGTTCTCCTCGAAGACGTCAGTGAGCTCCTTTTCCTTGAACTCGGTCAGTTCCATCGTGGATTCGGTCTTGCCGTGCTTGGCGGACGTGGAGCGGCTCACGACCACGGACCCTGTGGGGCAATGTGGATATCTTCGGGGAACATACGCACAACCACGCGACACCTATGAACCGAAACGCTCTTGATAAAGAAGTCAGCGCCTGCCCACACCAGGTTTGTGGGCACTGCGTGTTGATTGCTGGAGTTGCGTGCGTGTTCTTTGTTTGGCAGCACATAAATCGAAGCTTTGACTGCTCTTTTGCCTTAAGTGATTGTCAGTTCAAAGATTTATATTCTTGTCGGTTCTAATGGTGACATACGTACATTCATTGCACCAAACATCTATTTCACTATTGCGCGAAGCGCATTGAAATCAACAGTTTAGCACTGTGTGCATCTAAGAGTGAAACTGCCCCCTTATGGTGAATAGATAACATATGTTATTTCAAGACGGTCTTAACGCCACCTAATCATTCGTACGACAAATACTGATAGTAACTCAAGCATCACCAGCTGGGCTTTTAACTCAGCTGGTAAAAAGGACTAGTAATAAGCAGCCAGGGTTTAAAAGACATACTTAACTGTGTTGTTAAAAGTTTGCTAGTCCCGACAAGAAATAGGCACAAGTGACATGAGCACAAAAAAAAAAGCAAGCGGCAAATAGAAGTGTTACCTCTCTTCTGCTTGAGGGCTTCCGTGATGCGGTTGGGTCGCTTCTGTCGGAGCCGGGATCTCCGGAACAGCGTGATCATAAGGAAGGTAGGCGGGAACACGATCAAGTTGGAGAGTACGCCCACACCGACCTGGAATGAAAATGTAACAGGAGCTTATTTATTTCTTGAAAAAGTACCTTTTTACTCGTTTTCATATAAAAAATAGTTTGCGCATTTGTTTATACGCCGCGTGAAATAGTTCTCACAAGATTTGGTTGTTGGAGGAAGATCCAATGCTTTCGGAGATTGAAACGTGTACGCCTTGCTAAGATAACCTATATCGAATCTGAAATGTACCTACTCACACATATCTTAATAATCCACATAAAAATGGGAATTTGTAATCCTTCGCGAGGAGCAGGTCTTTTCTTTACTAGAGTTCTTACGATCAAAACTATTATAGGAATACATTGAGAGTGCTTGTTCATCAAAAGCTCTGCTTTCTTTGCGGAAGGGAGCGGATCACTTTCACATTGTGAATGTGTATAGTGCATTATTGCCATTTTGCTTCGTACTAATGTTATGAACCCTAATCAAAACCGCCACCAAAGGTGCATGGCGACGAAATGTAATCATTTATTGCGTTCGCATCAAACTACTTGTGTGCAGTACAAGTTGTACACTTTAGAGGGACCAGAATGTTACCTCACGCAGCAATCTTATCCCCCTACGATTGTGTTTCCTGAAAGCAGTTGTATTATATCGCTCGTAATAATAGTTTATTTAGACATGATTTAGAAAAAAAAACAACATACTCCTCACTTCAAAATATTTGATTGATTGTTTTCGATATTATTCTAAGCATAAGAGAAGCGAGAGTGTAAAAGTAATCTCGCGTGGTTATCTCTACTCCATAATAATTTAAATGAATACCTATCCCACCCAGATGCGCGATTCTTAAGCACGCAACGCAACACAGCGCGGGCATGATAGGGCGTCCAAACTATATTTCAAGTGATTGCTTATCATCACTAACACACCTTGGTACATAAATCGGCACCGATCACTAGTACAGTCCACTAGATTGTGACTTGTCGTTTGGTGAAGCTAAAATAAAGACCGAAAAAAAAATATGAGCGAATGCATTTGATAAACTTGTCGCGCTCTGTACACATCTCAATGCAGAAATTACCTGAATTTAGATCGCTATCAGGATCACATTGACAGATTGATTGTTGCCGCTCCTATCTGCAAAGAGCTGCTGACAGGGGTGGACAAAATCAGCAGGCCCAGAATTTTGGTTACGGTCCTTGCGTAGCTGTTATTCACAGTACTACTCAGCAAGTCAATAAAATGTTTCGGCTGGGTCAAACTGGCTAATTAACACAACTTAATTAGCTAATTTTGTTTCTAAATATTAATTTGTACGCGAACTTCCTAATATAAAAGTTGCAGAGCATGTTGGAAATCATCCCATCGTGTTGTTTTCATCAAGGCAGCCTTGTGTATCCAATCATTTAAAATTATTTAAAAAAAGCGCGCGAGATTAAAAAAAAAATAATCGCGCGTGGCTGTGGGCACCAATATTGCAGTTCTCTACCGGGTAATCAATTATTTCTATCTAAATCTCGCGCGAGATTCTTGAGATTCTTTTAAAGCTAACACTCAAATGTTACTTTTATGGAAAAGACGGGATGGAATGTATCTCAACATGCAACTTCTGTATTGGAAAGTTTGCGCACAAATTCAAAACCTAGGTATTTTATTTCAGTCAATAAACAAATTTCGCACCAAAAAATATCCTCACTTGCTTAATACTGCTGTAAACAATACTGCACTGGTTCAACACGCGTGGTGTAAGTCTTGGTACATGCTTGTTAAAACACCCTACATATATTTTTTTTTTCGGGCTGTCTTGTTTTAATGGTTACCATTCTGTATATCTCTAATCCTGCAGAGGCTGTGGAAACGAGGACACCGTCATCACCTGTTCCGGGCTGAGCGAGAAAGGCCCGAGGTTGACGGCGGACGCGGACGGCTTGGAGGGCACCCTGCCGTACCACATGGCGTTCACCAGCATGGACAGGTAGAGCAGGGCCACACAGCACGAGACCCGTTGGCAGCGGGTGAAGCGGCTCTTGGGCGGCCGCATGAACACGCTGAACCACAAGTGGCCGTCGGCCAGGTTCTTCTGGGATTTGAGTTGGAACAGGTGATTGAACTCGGTCGCCTCGTCCTTGCCGGCCACTGGGAGCAGACGGTCAGTCTGCGGTTGGGAGAAAGAAAGTAGAGAGCAATTATGGGCGCTGCCATGAACATCTATATACTGTCTTCATTTGTGGTGTCCAGAGGGAACTAACTGTTTCTATTGATGGGTTATCATTAGTAGCCACATGACAGGGGAAAGCTGACGACGTCCGTGTGTGGAAAAAACAATAAAAAGGGTTGCCAGCTCCGCGTAGAGAGGAAGAGAGTAGTGAAGGACAACGGCGAGAAGGAGGCGACGTCACGGTGGGGAAGTCAATGCGCGCGAGGGTGCTGGGAAGAGTGAACACGCAAGTGTGGGGAGCGCGTATGCTTTGGTTTGTGATACAAAATGGAGTGTGAACCAAGTGTGAACCTTTATGGACGTTTTTATTTTATCTTTTCTAAGACTTAAGTCTAAATTATTCAGCTTCATTACTTTCACTATCTTTGGTGAACATGTTAACCATCGTCTTTCATGTATCGCAATTGTTGATAAAAAGCTAAAAAAGTAGGCATAAAACTAATATTTTCAGCACTATACTTCGTTTTACCTTACGTACGAGCGCGGCCGACGTTATGAGCCGAAGCGCCAGTCAAACAGCGTAAAAAGCGCAACGTCATGGCGTTCTCTTTGGGCTTGATAGGACTAACCGGCGGAGGAGCACGCACAGGGAGACGGCGCATACAGGCTGGTCCTATCAATTGCAGAGAGCACGCCATGACGTTGTGCCTTATTCGCTCTTTGATTGGCCCTTCGGCTCATAACATCGGCCGCGTTCGGACCGAAGCTGAAACGAAGCATTACTTTGTCGAAAAATGTCGAGTCACTGTGCTGTGGCCGCGTGCGCCCTGTCTCACATTTCGCCAAAGAAAGCTAGTGCACAAGTCAAGAACACGTCCCACGGCTAAGTACACAACGGTGGCAGGTCTAAGAAGGCGATTAAAACAACAAAAATAATTTTTCTAATATTTCTTTTTCAAACGTGCTCTTAATTAACAATATAAGGTTGATGGAGCCGGTTTAAAATCTGAAAACACGAAACAAAAACCGAAGGGACACGCACAATGCCGTCTTCTTTCTCGACGGCGAACCACCGGTTGGCGATGAAGTCGTAGCGAGCGTTGGTCTGCACGTCCCTGACGGACACGAAGCGCAGATGCCAGGACCGCATGGAACCCTTGCCGGCGTTGTCGTGCCAGATGCGCATGTAGTTCAGCCGGCCCAGGGAACTGCGTATAGGAATACACCGATGGCAGAATGTCAGCATATGTTTAGGATCAAAGGAGTCTTGACGGAAAAATAAAGTTAGATAATTTCTTTGCATGGCATTTGTTTTTCCTATTAATATAAGACGTACTAAGCGGACCTTCAAATGTGAGCAAAAACAAGGTTGGGCGCGTTCGCAGACGACCAAGTTAGCCCCGCTATTAAGCCTAGATTGAAAGAGGGTTCATCTCAAATAATGGGGAGCATTTGCAATGTCATGGTGAGAGCCTCCTGCGATGATTGATAAAAACAAAGTATGCAAGCGCTGCGTTTTCGCGTGGCAAGGATTCAGCAAGGAACGCGAAAAGGCGCCGGCGGAGACGTTTGAAGACGATCAACGTTTTAGGCACCTCCTCGCACAGTTCGTATTGCAAACGCGACCCTTAAAACAGCTGACCCCGATCGAGCAGTTGGAAACTGTCTATTATACAGGCTCCCTAAGCGACGCTAGCTACCTGTGGCGCCATCTCCCGATAGGCGCAGCGGACAACAACAGAGCGGACGCACTCTGTTGTTGTCCGCTCCCTGCGCCTATCGGAAGATGGCGCCACAAGTAAATAGCGTCGCTAACTTGGTCGTCTGCGTACGCGGCCTACCTTAGTTTATAAAAAATATTTTTTGCTCTAATTTTTTTTTTTTAGGAACAGAATTGCGCTTTTAAATTTTACATGATGAAGCATATCTACTCATTGCAGTGCTCATTCGGTGAAAGGTTGAGGATTCCACTCACAGTTGCCGATTTTTCCAGCTAGTTTTAGTGCGAGATATCAGGTTTTACGACTTTTGTGGCTATGAGGGAGGAAATTCAACCGCCGCGTATTTATAGTAACTAAGAGCTTACGAAACTTGACATTTTTTTTTTGCTCACTTTTCTTATTTCGTGATTCGTCCTTCGGCGTTGTTATCTCAGCTCCAATAAAACTCAACACATCAAACCCCCTAAAAAATGTTCTAGGATAGAGAGCCCTATATGAAGTAAGTTAAGCACTAGGCTCTCAAAAACAAACTAATTAAAGTATTAATCACATATTACAAAACAAACAAGGAACACGCGTCTGTACTATACGTACCGTGGCACCGTCATGACAAAGGTATCGATTCCGCCTTTGCGGAAAATCTTGCGTTTCTGGTCTCCGAAGGTGCGTACCTCGGTCTCGTCATCGTCGCCAGAAACGATGAAAAATACCTGCAAGATAAAAAAAAGAAGCAGAAAAAAAGGCGTCGGGGATATAAAAATTATTAGCACTTTGCATGTTCGCCACATCACATTTTGCTAAAACGTCTCAGGGGTGGACCAGAAGGTCGCTTTCCGAGTGACATTAGCGAAATATGCAAAATTGTTGGAACAATAACATAATAGTTTTAGAGCGTTTCACTACGGAATTTGAAATGACAACTACCTAAAAGCCGTTAACCCGTCAACTGCAACTAAAGTAAAAATTTACCTCAACATAGTTTCCGCTATGGCTTAACTTACATCTTGCGTAAGAATATCTGAAGAAAGAAGACTCAATTCATTACGAAACAAAAAGCTATATGAACTCGAGCGATGCCTTTACAGGAAGATCGGCGCAAAATTGTTAGATCAAAATGCCGTATGAAAGTGCAAATGAAAAAAAAAATAAAAACAAAAAATATCCACAAACGTTGTGACAATAATAATAATAATAATATTAATATTATTATTATTATTATTATTATTATTATTATTATTATTATTATTATTATTATTATTATTATTTTTATTATTATTATTATTATTATTATTATTAATTTTATTTCCATCAACGACACATTATCGATGAAGGGGGCCGAGGAAAAAAGCTGTTGATAGGCAGCTTGAGGAGCCCTCAACCCCTTTTCAGACGCAAAAAATAATTAAAAAAAAAAGGCAAAAAGAGCATTTATACAGTCTTATTATAAACAATCAGCGAAAAGCACAAACAGCATACACACACACTATTGTTCTAAAAACGAAACCAAAAAACGAAGGACAAACTTCAGAAAATGAAATTGTTTTTATTCGTTGTTTTCATCTAAGCAATTCAAAGGCTTAGAGAGCGTAAACTTTAGCATTTGATAGCCGTAGTTGTTTTTAGATCTAGGAGCTTTGAAGCACTCGGCATAACGAGTGGAGTGAACAGGCATAACAAGAGGGTAATTCAGTCAGTGCAGTTGGTTTTCTTATGTGTTCATCACTGAGAGCACAAGCGCAGGGCGCCTTTGTTGATTGTCCATAACTCCAGCACGGGCTTGTTGACTTCCGTCGTGCATTTGCTGCGCGAACATGCTCGAAACTAATAAGACGCCGAAGCATCATTGAAGGTACGAAGCTCGCATCGGAGGCTGGAAAATTGAAAGACCTCCCTCCCGTTCTCAACTTGTCAGTAACTATACTTTTATGGAGTGGGACGGCAGGCAATTATTTCCAGCCTCGGATGGCGAAGGCGCATTTTAGTAGAGCTTTCAGCTAGTATCAGCTAGAGCTTTTTGCATGCCATTCATATCCTGGCTACTGTAAACGTCAATTGAAACAAGTTTTGAACTACTTTTGACATAATAATAATAATAATAATAATAATAATAATAATAATAATAATAATAATAATAATAATAATAATAATAATAGTAATAATACCAAAAAAAAAACGTGGCAGTTCTGAAAGGTTTTGACTAGGACTGTCACATTTCAGGGGCATATGGCGGGAGTTGATTTTGAGACTCCGATGAGCGGGGATACAGTGATCAACAAAACGAAACAGACCAGCGGAGCGCGTGGCCTCGGAAGAGAAACTATGCATGCTCCGCTTTGAGGAGAACATAATCTAGCCTAGGATGACCACATATGGCTCCGCCATCCGTTTATCCCGGGCATCCCTAGGGTAACTGCATCGCGCGGGACCACGCAATCCGCTGGCTCGTTTTTCTTTTCTTTTTCTTTTGTCGAGTACTGAATACCCATATTCATAAGATATACCCATAGAAGCCAGCTCACGTTTGAGTCGGTTGCCGCTCCCTTCTTGTCGCCCGTGAACACCACTATCTCGTAGACGTACTTGTCCTTGGGGTCGTTGTCCTGCAGCGGCGTCGCTCCCAGCTTTGCACCGAAAGAAAAGAAAGAAAACCTCAGTTTCATTTGCTTATATGCAACGCATCTTTAATCCCTCAATCGATCGATCGAGTTCATCTGCTTGAACATGGTAATTGAGATAGTTGACGAGCGAATAGCTAAGCTGTAGCCACTTTGTTGGGTATGTTTGCAAAAATATTTGATTGCCCCACCCCCCCAAAAAAAAAACAAAAAAAAAACAAAGGCAACAATCAGGACGCCGTGTAATGCCGCAGCCATATTGATAATACGTCATACACTGAGAAACAAAAACTGCAGACATTGTTTGAAGAGTGCTTCTTCCTCTTACGATGGTCCTGTTGGTCATGCAAAGCGTTTGCAGACATGTTCAAAGCATACGTGCTTCGAACATGATTGAGGCGTTTCCGGAGATAGTTCTGTCATTTTGTCTGCAGCGGAGAGAGCGTCCTTTGTGTGCTCTCCAAATTAACTCATAAATATTTTAAAGAAAATCGATCCATGGGTTGTTGAAGCAAGGAAGAAAAGTCACGCGCACCACCGACATATTGGGAATGATAACAAAGCGTTTGTCAAAGTGCAGTAAAGTTATAAAATGGGCGAGAATTGAGTTGGTTCCGCAAATTTCCTTTCACAATTTGGAAACAGCCTTTGTAGAATGTAATTAAACGATGCCGAGATCATTTAGTAAAAATGGTTTACTGTAGCCACAACTTTGAGTCAACGGGAAAAACTCTCGGAGTGTCAGGCACAATACGCGCCACGAGCAGACAACAGTGCGCGACGTCTGCTCGCAGCGCTTATCGGGAGATGGCGCCACAAGTTAACAGCGTCGCTAACCGCTCATTCACGATGGAGGCGGATCCGCGTTCGCAAAGCGGTTGCGAATGCGGTTGTATAAAGATCCAGTACAATTGCACGCGCACTCGATGTTATCGAGTGCGCGTGCAATAGACCGATCTCCCCAAGCGTTCGACGCGTGCGCGAGGCAGCCATAACTTTAGTTCACAGGAGGCAATCGGCAGTGCACGAGACTATTCGTGGCCTGCACGCGCAGAGCTCCAGCGAGGTTGTCGCACGCGCAGAAGGACTAAAGTTCTTTCGATGCTTTGCGGCAGCGGTGGCGTAGTCAAACTGGCTGGTGAGATCGGTCTACTGCACTGGATCTTCATACAACCGCATTCGCAACCGCTTTGCGAACGCGGATCCGCTTCCAGTGTGATTGAGTGGCAACTCGGTCGTCTGCGAACGCGCCCAACGTGAATTTTGGAAGGTTTGTTGCTCTCATTTTTTGCAGGAAGTGAACTACGCTTTGGAAATTTTCCACGGTAAAACTGACCTTCTTCAGTGCATATTCGGCGAAAGCTTGAGCTTTTCGTCAGAAGGCGGCTATTTATCGAGCCCCATTTTACAGCGTCACATACACTTGTGCAACTCTATTGTTACATTGGCTCGATCATGCGTCTGTCACCTTTTCGAGGTCCTTCTTGTCCTCGTAGCGCGCCCAGATGAGGAGCACGATGTAGACGAGCATGGTGACCACCACGGTCATGTAGATGGTCACGTTGTCGGCGAAACCCGCGTTGGCGAACACGTACGAGAAGTCCACGGTGTTAGGCATTACGAAGAACCCGCTCCCGAACGATGTCAGGTGGTTGCACTTGCACTTGGTCAGCGCGTAGTTGGCGTTGGACACCTGCGCCCCCGAGAAAAAAGCTCCGATACCTTGATATATGGCGACCTATTATTTCTTAACGAGCGCGTTTGCCTACAGGAGATGTGACGACCGCGCATGCGCAGTAAGTCGTTTCTGAAAGTGCGAAGCATCTGCGCAAGCTGCGTTTCAGTCAGCAGCACTTTAATCTGACGTCGATAATATCAATCGTGACGTCATATTTCTTGAATTTCTGAACCGGTCGCCTGCTGATACAAGGTACTTGTTCGTTGAGAACTGCACCATTACATCATGACTCCCAACATGTTGAATCGACCGGAAAATACGATCCTCAATATTCGTTTCCAGAAAGCAAACCACGGCTTTTGAGTTTGTTTGTGAACCAGCAACCCAATCATTGTTTCGTGTATGTTTATTTCGTTCGCGAGACAAATTGTGACATCCAAAATCCCAGCGTCGAAAAAAAACGTATCGCTTCATTCTCTCTCGCAACGTAAGAACTGCAGGAGGGGCGCCGAACTCGAATTTTTGAGTGGAAATGGAGTGATTATACTCCTTTTCACTTTAAAGAGACACTGACATTGTATTCATGCTTGCTGAGGTTTTTAATTGTACATGACATATGAGCGCCCAACTACCCAGAACAGAATTTGCGGCACGAAATTCGGTTTCTTTTTCGCCCGAAAGCCACCGATCGAGAACTGGCCGGTTCGAGTCACGCTCACCCTCTTCTCCGTTGTCACGGGCCGTTTGCTAAGGGTTAGACACAACCATCAAATTTAATCAAGATTGTGGGTCATTGAAGGCACACACTCAATATTACAAAGATAAAAACATATGACACCCATTTTTTGTGGCTTCTAAGAAAACTGCAAAAACGTTGATTGAAAAAAAAAAAAGTTGCACAGAAAACCGGACGCATTATGTGCGTTCACTGCGTAATTCAACATGGCGTCGTATCGCGTATCCTGAACTAGCGTGCTGGACGGCGATGGCGGCGAGCGGTGCTCGTGGGACCTCTACTCCAGAACTGTCGCTCTGAAGTCAGATTTGAGGTGCCGGCGAATCTGTCTTCCTTCGAAAGAGAAATTTTGGACTCATCAAGACAGGATTTCGAACCACCAAGCCGATTTGCACGAAGACGTCGCCGAGTCGTCGCCACTTCTCGTGACCGAAGACATCGTTCGTCTTACGAACGCGAATTGGTAAGAGCTTGAAAAACGCGCAAATGTAAAGCACGAAGTGCGTACTTGGAGTTGAATATGCATGTGTACGATTCCTTTGCTAGGGGCGAAAGTGGCCAATGCGTGGTGTTGCACGACTTCGAGCGTTCGAGCCTGTGGAGTGCCTTTGCTGCGGGGAAATTGACAGCAAACGTTTCGACCTCGAATCGACCCGCTGCATTATACAAACAAGGAGTTCCCCCTCGTCTGCCTGAACATTAGATGTTAGAACTATCGTACTTAGAGCTCCACAATAGGAAACTGCCTATGCCCAGGACAACCACAAGTTTATGTTGTTAGGAAGTGGATATTCTGCCGGCAGCCGGCACCAACGGGGAAAACATTTTGCCGGCAGTTGTCCCCTATTGGGTCTGGTATAAAATAAATTGTTAAAACGTAGATTTAAAGCTGTAAAGTAGCTCAGTAAAAAGGTGTACATTTCACACGTAGTGGACCTATAGTTCAATCCAAAAAGTGGGCATACTGTTTTGTTCTTTTGTCAGACATTTTAAGATATTTACACATTGCGTTTTTTACAATTATCACTGAAAAAAAATGTTGTGGACGAAAATTCGCTGAACTAAATGGTATGGAACTCCTTTTTTGACAGCCGCCAACTCAATGTAGTCACTTTCCACAAAATGCGAGGAGCATATAAATCGGGTAGCGTCCGCTTTCCGAGGTGCCCGTAACTGTTCTGTAAGAATTGCCGCCAGTCATTGCTCCCGATCCCGTTGATATTTCAGAAACTTGTATAGACTCTGCCGCAAAATGCCACTTTTGGTTAAAGGACATGGGAGGCAGCTCTTCACGTAACATCTTGGGGACATTCTTTTCGGATGCCGATCACGGGCTTGCACCACGGGCACTCACTACTCATTTTCAACTCCTCAATGTACAAAACTTATCTTGAAGTACAGAACAGCAAGCGGAACAAACATAACTGCAAAGGAATCGCATGTCAAATGGTACCCACCGCTGTCGACACCGTCGTCTGCTACGCAAAAAAAAAAAAACACGGCCGGATGTAGTGGCGCGACTTCCGGCACTCCCCCACCTCCGTGCACAGGTTTCGGTTTCGGTTTCGGGCAGTTGCGTTTTTTGGCTTTATTAAAAATATACGTGACTCTGTATCAAAATATTAATTAGATAGTCTTCTGATACCATATTAAATCGCCTGTCAGGAAATAAAAATAAAAACATTTGTGGGGTGTCAGTGTCGTTTTAAGTCCGACCGCGCGGCCGGCGCCGCAATCTGGTGAAGCCAATAAATCAGTACCAAAGATGCATTTTCACTGCACTTTGTCTCTGTAGGTTTTCCTTCCCCACCTAAATGAATCACGCACGGAAAAAAAAGCAAATAATCGCGGCGCATTTACTGCGTCTGATTTGTTTCAATCCCCACCGCTGTCTGTTTCGATCTGGATGAGCATCGTGCAGTCGTGTATCACTACCTGCGTGGTCCACGTTACAGGGGTACTCCGGCGTTTTCTTAATGTATACCCGATTTGACTGTAAATTTGCTGAGCACACCGGCAAACATCGCCGAAAGAGGATCTTGAAGGTCAAAATATTTTTTTTTTTCCCGCTAAGTGAATGAGTTTACGATGTTGGCCCTCACCGTGTTTTTCAAACTAAAAATCTCTACTGGCAAGAATGAAAAAGTGACGCCAGAAGCAGGCAAAGGTTCACTCTTTCGACTTTAGAATGTGTTTCCAACAGATTCTAAGCAATTTCACGGTGTCAAATGTGTGGTTTGGAACCTCGCCCCAGTATACCCGCGCACCAGCACGAAATAAAGGCTCGCCATAGTTCATTCTTTGGACTGCCTGCTCGACTGGCAAGTCTGTCTGCCACAGATGTCGCGGCACTGAAAAGAGCAAGTATATTTGAATGCTGGTTCATAGCATCATTTTCATTCACCGATTTTACGATAACTATTCAGAATTTCGCGATAGTAAACAGCATACAGGAAAGAGTAATGTTCGGGAATTCAAAAAAAAAAAATCATGATTAGTTACAGTAGTAAAAACAAATCGCCGGAGTCTCCCTTTAAAGACAACAGGCTGGCGGTGCACAACACTGGCTAAATTTCTCACCTACAGCTGAAGAACAAATTGTCCGTTGAGGCAGACTAACTTCCGACTGTCTAAACATGTGTACTTCGCAATTACTTTACACGTGATTTTAGTCGATAATGGGAAACGCACAAAAGCGGCGAGCGCCATGACGGTGCACTTTTGGCGCTCTTTGATTGGCTTCATGAGATCACCGTGTCGAATGCGCTCGGACTTGAAGTGAGACTGAGTATAGACCACTCAGTACAAACACATCATTTTACTGATGTCACCAAAAGGGACGAGCACACGTCGGCGCCTTTTTATTTCGATATGGGGGCCCTCAAAAAATGAAAGCCGCTTACAACTCCCTGTAACGCCGAATTAGAGCGCAGCTCTTGAGGAGGAGGAGGGAAGGGCACTGGGGGGGGGGGGGGTTAAACTAACCAGGGGGGGGTCACGTTACCTTGGGGGTCACGTGACCCCCAATGCCGATGATGTCATCACTGACGTCACTGATGACGTCATCAGTGACGATGACGATGCGGGTACCGATGACGTCATTAGTGACGTCACTGATGACTTCACCAGTGATGATGACGATGACGATGCGAATGTCGGTGACGTCATCGGTGACGTCGCTGATGACGTCATCAGTGATGATGACGATGACGATGCGGATGCCGGTGACGACATCAGTGACGTCACTGATGACGTCATCAGTGATGATGACGATGACAATGCGGATGTCGGTGACGTCATCAGTGATGATGACGATGACAATGCGGATGTCGGTGACGTCATCAGTGATGATGACGATGACGATGTGGATGCCGGTGACGTCATCAGTGATGATGACGATGACGATGTGGATGCCGGTGACGTCATCAGTGATGATGACGATGACGATGTGGATGCCGGTGACTTCATCAGTGATGATGACGATGACGATGCGGATGCCGGTGACGTCATCAGTGACGATGACGATGACGATGTGGATGCCGGTGACGTCATCAGTGATGATGACGATGACGATGTGGATGCCGGTGACGTCATCAGTGATGATGACGATGACGATGCGGATGCCGGTGACGTCATCAGTGATGACGATGACGATGTGGATGCCGGTGACGTCATCAGTGATGATGACGATGACGATGTGGATGCCGGTGACGTCATCAGTGATGATGACGATGACGATGTGGATGCCGGTGACGTCATCAGTGACGATGACGTCATCGGGGGGTCACGCGACATCGGCGGGGGTCACGTGACCTCGAGGAGGGGGCCACGTGACTTCGGGGGTCACGTGACCCCCCACGAGGTCACGTGACCTTGGTGGGGGGCTCGCGCGGTGCATTATGGGACATTTCCCATGATCCACCGCGCGGTTACGCCGACGCCGACGGCGACGGCGACGGCGACGCCGACGGCGACGGCGACGCCGACGGCGACGCCGCTCAAGCCGGAAACGGGCCCCTAAGAGCTGCGCTCTAAAAAGTGAAAGCCGTTTACAAATCCCTGTAACGCCGAATTGGAGCGCAGCTCTTGAGGAGGAGGAGTGAAGGGTACTGAGGGGAGGGTAGACCCCTCCCCCTTCTCCTCCTCCTCCCCTCATTCTTTAATATGCTCCGGGGGGGTGTCACGTGACTTCGGGGAGGGGGTCACGTGACCTCGGGGAGGCGTGACCTGGGGGTGACCTCAAGGCCACGTGACCCCAAAGGTGACCCCCACGTGACCTTGGGGTCACGTGACCTGGAGGGGTCACGTGACCTCGGGGGGTCACGTGACCTCAGAGGGGTCACGTGACCTGGGGGTCACGTGGGGTCACGTGACCTTGAGATGACCTTGGAAGGGGTCACGTGACCTTGGGGATCACGTGACCTCGGGGGTCACGTGACCTTGGGGAGGCGACCACGTGACCTCGGGGGTCACGTGACCTCAGAGGGGTCACGTGACCTCAGAGGGGTCACGTGACTTGGGCGTCACGTGACCTTCAAAGGGTAACGTGGGGTCATCTTGGGGTCACGTGACCTTGAGATGACCTTGGAAGGGGTCACGTGACCTCGAGGGGTCACGTGACCTTCAGGGGGTCACGTGACCTTGAGATGACTTTGGGAGGGGTCACGTGACCTTGGGGGTCACGTGACCTTGGGATGACCTTGGTTACGCCGACGCCGACGCCGACGGCGACGCCGCTCAAGCCGGGAACGGGCCCCTAAGAGCTGCGCTCTAAAAGTGAAAGCCGTTTACAACTCCCTGTAACGCCGAATTAGAGCGCAGCTCTTGAGGAGGAGTAGGTAAGGGTACTGGGGGGGTCACGTGACCTAGGGGGGTCACGTGACGATGACGATGCTGATGACGTCATCAGTAACGATGACGATGCGGATACCGATGACGTCATCAGTGATGATGACAATGACGATGCGGATGCCGGTGACGTCATCAGTGATGATGACGATGACGATGCGGATGCAAGTGACGTCATCAGTGACGTCACTGATGACGTCATCAGCGATGATGACGATGACGATGCGAATGCCGGTGACGTCATCAGTGATGATGACGATGACGATGCGGATGCCGGTGACGTCATCAGTGACGTCACTGATGACGTCATCAGTGATGATGACAATGACGATGCGGATGCCGGTGACGTCATCAGTGATGATGACGATGACGATGCGGATGCCGGTGACGCCATCAGTGACGTCACTGATGACGTCATCAGCGATGATGACGATGACGATGCGAATGCCGGTGACGTCATCAGTGATGATGACGATGACGATGCGGATGCAAGTGACGTCATCAGTGACGTCACTGATGACGTCATCAGCGATGATGACGATGCGGATGCCGGTGACGTCATCAGTGACGTCACTGATGACGTCATCAGCGATGATGACGATGACGATGCAAATGCCGGTGACGTCATCAGTGATGATGACGATGACGATGCGGATGCCGGTGACGTCATCAGTGACGTCACTGATGACGTCATCAGTGATGATGACAAAGACTATGCGTATGCCGGTGACGTCATCAGTGATGATGACGATGACGATGTGGATGCCGGTGACGTTATCAGTGACGTCACTGATGACGTCATCGGGGTCACGTGACCCCGGGGGTCACGTGACTTGGGGAGCCACGTGACTTTGGGTGTCACGTGACCTTGGGGAAGGGGTCACGTGACCTTGGGGTGACCTTGGGGAGTCACGCGACCCCCAGTGACCCTTGGGGAGGGGTCACGTGACCTTGGGGTGACCTTGGGGTCACGTGACCTTGGGATGACCTTGGGGGTCAAGTGACCTTGGGATGACCTTGGTTACGCCGACGGCGACGCCGCTCAAGCCGGGAACGGGCCCCTAAGAGCTGCGCTCTAAAACAAAACTGCGCCTAAGATTTAATGTGCCCGTGCGCATTGGACGTGCAGTGGAGAGTTTTTCCTTGTGGGTGGAGCCTGTCTTCCGGTCATGTTCCAACTACTGACTAGATATAGTGAAGGGATTTGGAACACGGATCATATCCCAGAGGTTCTTAATTTTGTGAGTCGTGGGGTCGTGCATCATACAGTCACTCTGTTTACGAACAAAGCAAATACATCTATCTTTTTACAGATCATTCGGCTAGCCAATCACTTAGATCCACGGCGCACTCCGAACCAGTGACACTACTCCAAACCGAAAATAAGGCACAAAAAAAAAAAATAAAGATTTCCACGAAAGCGAAATTTTCTCTACATGTTGGACATGTCAGAAGTTCTGTTCGTTCTCAGTCCCGCGGTGCTGATATCCCTTCGGAGTGACGTATCGTACACTGGCTCCCTCTTCTCGATCGTAACGACTTGAAAATACGTTCAAGCCCACGGGCTTTGCTCGCAAATAGTGTGAGTTGTGCCACAAAATTGTTGCTCGGCTGCTTGTAGTTCCGGCAACCCAAATGTCTTCAACATAAAGCTAGGTTGCTTATACCTTGTTTCCCACACTCACCTTTGGTTACTGTTTTGGTTACGTCCGGTTACTGTTTATTAAACTTTTGGTTAAAGTCACCATTTTTCGCTGAACACAGAAAAAGTACGGCGAACATTCCTCTCGTCAACTTGAGCCTGAAGAACTATAGCTCTCTTAGCGAAACTGTGGCTGCCTTTTTGATGGCCCTGTTACCAGGACGTGGCTCAATTTAACGTGTTTTAACGAGGCATATCACGTATTTCGATGCACCTTGTCACGTGCGTAACCAACACCACCCAAAATAATCAAAGCCTACGCATTAGACTTTTTTCGTCATCACATTGAGATCAATCCAAGACCCGGATTGGACACGAATGCTGCGCCAGCGTTCGGCTCGGCCGCGCGTCCAATCAACGCGTCGAAGGACTCTCGGCATCGGGCTTGGGTCCAATTGCCGAGCTGGTGCCTTTCGACGGTGATGACGGCCATTGAAGAGGAGGATGTTTGCACGCACTGATTATTATATAGGTGGTGTTGCGTAAACTCGCAACAAACTGTCCGGAGAGGAGTTGACCACTCACGAAGCAGCCGTCGGCGGACCAGCCCTTGGTCTTGGCGTTGAAGAAGTAGCATCCGGACGTGTAGATGCGCACCGAGTAGTTGGTGCTGAACTCCCGGCTCACGTCGGTCAGGGTCAGGTTGACCGGATCGTCGGGGCTGAACTCGGGCACCGACCCGTTCGGCTGCACCAGGCCCAGGTAGAAGAAGCCCGTGCGGTTGTCCACCATCGAGTTGTCCAGGAAGATGTCGTACGTTCCTAGTGGGGCGGCAGATACGAATCGCGAAGTCAAAGTCAGATCTAATTGTCTCTAATGTGCCTCAATGTCCTTTTGTATAGGGTGAGGACATCGTTTGTAGCACCCGATGCTAACAGCACGAGCTCACAAAGAAAAGGCTAAGAAATCGTCGAGAACAAAATGTCGCCAGAGCACAGTCAGCGCCACGAGCGCGTACATGCACAGGCTCTATCAAGCGCTTCGGAACGAAAGACAAAAATATGCGTTTTCGGAACAAAATACGCAGATGGGATCACCCTAAGCAAATCACGCACGAAGGCAGCCTAATTGTGTTTACATGATTAGCGCCGAGAGGTTTCGGTGGCGTCCGCTTAAGCAACTCTCACACTGCTAATACGTCCAACAAAAGACAGTCTTCTGAAACTGTCTGAGGAAAGTTTCTTCCTTGAATGGATGGTCTGTCACATTGGCTATAAAAAAAAGCTGCCTGCAAACATGTTCCAGGCCTACATACCCATGAAAGAAGGGGGCCGAGGCACGCCGAGGGCTCATCGTGCTGCCTGTCAGCTATTTTTCCTTGGTTCCCGCCATCGAGAATTTTAAATAAAAAAAAGATTCAAGGAGCTGTGCAACAGTTTCAGTGCTTTGCTTAAATAATTTGGGAGTTCGTGGCTCGACTTTTCTGAAGTAAAGAACAACAAACCTCTTTTTCCTGCATGCAGTTTTTATTTTAAAAATGGACAAAGATTGAGGAACTCCATCACCATCTTCAGAGTCACGTGCGCTGTGACGTCAATGGGGGTCGCGCGGGGTTCATATTTATATTTATGTTGGAACGACAAGATTTCTAGGAAAGTTACCTTTTATCGAGCAGGTATCTGCGCAACTTCCTATTTCTTTTACAAGACCCCCTTTGACGGCATGCCGCGTGGTTCTCATGGCCGCCGCTCGCAGCTGCAGGTCGGGGAATTTTTTAATTTTTGCCTCGCTATTACGCGGCGGAATCGCAACATCTCAAAGGAAGGAGGCCTGTTTTCTGTCCTTTGTGACAAGATAAACAATGTCAAAAGTAGAAAATGCCAATTGTTTCAACGTTTAAATCGTTGAACAGCTTCTTTAATATTAATATTATTTAAAAAAATATACGACTATACACAATTTCAATATTAACAAGTTCTGAACCCAGCGTGCCAACTCCTCTACCTAGCACGCACATGTTAATCGTCGCTTCGGAAAGCGAGAAAATCACGCGCAATGCACGAAAACTGAAAATGAAACCGGCCAGAACTCGTTTTTAAAAGGCCTATAGCGTATAAGTTATAACATAGTGCAATTTAGGATATCCAAATTTGTCGCGACCTTTACCTTCAAAGTCTTATAACCCATAAAATGCATTATAGCGATGTTGTTGTGAAAATTGGAGTGTCACGTGACGAACATTTTGCCGCTAAATTTAGCCGGGAAACAAAATGGTTGGGTAGGTCACGTGACGGCAGGTCATGTGACGTTGATTTTTCCCGCTAAACTTAGCGGGGAAACTGGATCGGTGTCTGGGTCACAAGTCGCGAATTTTCACCGCTAAATTTAGCGGGTAAACTGAATTGCTTTAATTTCCCGCTAAATATAACGAGGAAACCGGATCAATGTTCTTGGCCACAAGACATGAATTCTCCCACCAAATTTAGCGGGTAAACTGAGTTGACGTATGGTTCACGTGCCGTCAATTTCTTCAAGGTGTATAAGTCACGTGATGACACTTCTCCCGTTAAATTTAGCGGAAAAAACTTGATTTGAACGTGCTTGAGGCGTATCCGCTGATAATGATGTCTTGTCTGCAGCGAAAACTGTGTATTCTGTATGATGCCTGGATAGTGGACCGCGGTTCGATGGCTTCCGTCAGTGATGACACAATCAACATTCACTCGCCGTGACGTCAGGGCTTGTTATCCTTGCTACTTATCGTCAGCTGCGAACTAAAAAGTTCCACGGTGTGTGTAAAAAACACGGTAGAAGTTTGGAGTCAACCTATTCTTAAAACAACCTCATGAAAGTTGGCAGTTTGGTATTACTCTTATTAAGGGGAAAGCCTTATATGTCTCATCGTTCAGTCCTTGAGCGAAAACACGTCGGCGACACGAAACGTACTAAAACCCTCGGTTCGCCACTGGACCACGAGATGGCGTTACTCGTGCCAGAATTGGCAGGGGCACGCGCGCGGCGCAAATCCAGCGGGGGAGGACACCAGATACGGACACACGCTGGGGCGGCGGTGAGGAGCGGGCCGTGCGGTGTGCCGGCGTCGTCAGAGAGCACGCTGTCTTCGGAGGTTCGCTGTCACCGGGATCGGCGCTTGGGCTTTTGCCTTCAAGTCGTCTTAGGGGTAACATAAAATACCCTGTGAATTCTTTCCGTCCGCGAAAGAAAATTTGGTTTGACTATACATGATTGGAAACAGCGCATCCCCTTACAAAAATGATCAATGAGTTTCAATTGACTTTCTATTGTGTTCTATAGAGTCAATTGAAACTCGATATAAACTCAATGTCTAATGAGTTTGACCATTAGAAACTCAATTTTGATTCTATTGAATTTACTCATTAGGAATGCAATTGAGACTGATCATAAGAAACTCAATATCGATTCTATTGACTTTACTCACAAGGAATGCAATTGAGTTTGATCATTAGAAACTCAATCATCAATTCTATTGAATTTACTCAATAAGAATGCGATTGAGTTTGGTCATAAGAAGCTCGATTTAGATTCTATTGAATTAACTCAATAGGAATGCAATTGAGACTGATCATAAGAAACTCAATATCGATTCTATTGACTTTACTCACTAGGAATGCAATTGAGTTCGATCATTAGAAACTCAATATCAATTCTATTGAATTTACTCAATAGGAATGCGATTGAGTTTGGTCATAAGAAACTCAATTTCGATTCTATTGAATTAACTCAATAGGAATGCAATTGAGACTGATCATAAGAAACTCAATATCGATTCTATTGACTTTACTCACTAGGAATGCAATTGAGTTTGATCATTAGAAACTCAATATCAATTCCATTGAATTTACTCAATAGGAATGCGATTGAGTTTGGTCATAAGAAACTCAATTTAGATTCTATTGAATTTACTCATTAGGAATGCAATTGAGACTGCTCATAAAAAACTCAATATCGATTCTATTGACTTTACTCACTAGGAATGCAATTGAGTTTGATCATTAGAAACTCCATATAAATTCTATTGAATTTACTCATTAGGAATGCAATTGAGTTTGGTCATAAGAAAGTCAATATCGATTCTATTGAATTTACTCATTAGGAATGCAATTGAGCTTGGTCGTTTGTGGATTACTGCACCCGTGTGCACCGAACGATTATTGCTTGTACCAATGTTTTTCTATTAAGGGATAGAGTCAAATGACGTCGAAACACTGTTTATCATTTTTGAGACTTCCAAGGAGGAAATAGCAAACTGGGAACCTTAGTAGATGCTGAGGTGGTCACCGGCCAAATGAATACCTTTCTTATGTAGGGTATATAAGGCGGTGGGGTAGTCAAGGGAGGACGATTAGTGGGTTGTGAGTGCTTAGTTACGATGTTTGTGTTTGTTTCCTCTATGTGCTTTGTTTCCTTCATGTTGCATGCTTTAAAGAATTGTGAAAAAAAATTCTCAACCAGAGCAATTTTTTTAAATACAGTTGCAATAAATTCTATTGAAGCACGTTGCAATAATTCAATTGAAAGTCAATTGCAATATTTTTATTAAAACTCAATAGCAAAAGTTCTATTGAAACACTATTGCCAAAATTCAATTGAAATGCAATTGCTAAAATTCAATTAAGACTCAGTGTCCAATAGTCTGGGACGGATCAATAGCGACTCAATAGAAAAAGTCAATTAAGTTTCAATTGAGACTGAATGAGGTCTATTGAGTGAGTCCTTTACACTTTCAATTGAAAGTCAGTTCATTTTTTTGTAAGGGTCCAGGGCCCGTTTGCTGGAAGCTGGTTAACTCTAACGGCGGTTAGAAGTTGACCCCATTTCCCTACGAGGGGGAATTTTGGGTCACATGACCGGCAGAGTAAGGACGGCGGGGAAACATGGCGGTGCCCCGGTGAGCGAGCGCCGCTCGCTTTGGAACAAATACGTCGTAGTAGCTGTAATATCGAGCGCGTTAGTCAGCAATAAATGGTGCAGGAGGTTTTCGCTATGACTTACCTCAACTAAAACGCAAAATATGAGCAATGACCTCACCGCATTTTTTTAGACAGACTTTCGACTCTGGCCATTCCTAACCCTAAATGAACGCGATAGTTGTCGGCATGGTAACGCCTTTGGAAAGTGGATTACCTTGACTCAATCGGCTTGGTATTGATAGCACACAAAAGCAGAGAGCGTTGCCATAGACCTTTTGCTAAATTTCAAAAGCACCGAGGTCACCGTGACCGAGATGGATGCTACGAGTGTAGTTACACGCGCTGCACGTGCTGGCATCTGCAGTAATAACAGTTCCAAAGCAAAAAGCCTAAACAAATTTTGCCGTGCACGCGCGTTCGTCAAAGATTTATTATGGCTATTTACTTCAAATCTTTTATAAGTGGAAGGCCAGCGCGCGCGGATTGTAGAATTACACTTCTAGCGTTTTTCTCGATGTTCGGGTAATTTACTAATAGGTCAATTTACACTGGAGTCGAGTTACAGGTGTTTCAATTTATGACGGTGTTATATACAGTTCTTACATGCTGGCAAACCATGCTGCCCGTGTTCCGCCCGCCTTTCACTGCTCACTTCTTTCTCATCGTTTCTAAGACAGAACTTCGTCGTCCTTTTTCGAACTCGGAAGGAAATTTCAACGAGGCTTGTCTTCACTTCATACAGCCAAATATTTAGAACATTTCCAAACAAGGGTTAATTTGGTTTTACCTTGCCGATTATCTGTACCACGAGCAATAAAAATTGTTTCTTAAGCTCAAATGTATGCCGCGCTGCGTCGCGAAAAC